GGGTTATCCCTGCACGAATTCATGCTCAGCCATTTAGAGACAGTCCAAATCAACCTAGCAGATTCCCTGTACATCCCAGTTATGGCACTTAATTATAAATGCTCATTACCCATCAATGCCTTCATGCATTGGTAATCCTGCCAAACTTTTTTAACGTGACCTATGGGCAATACCCACCCCCCAAAAAAGTCTGGGACAAGTGCGTCCCAGAATTCTTCCCTCGTTCCATTCTATTTTTAAGAAAGTAGTGAGCTATAACATGTCATCCATTTACACACTCAACTCATCCAAGTTATTGTGAAAAATAAAATCTGATCCCTTGGTTGGATAATTATTGACTTCTGGGTTCCAATACTATAGTTTTAACATAACCTAGACCCTGTGTCTACACCAAATAAGAGAGGTGGCAGGGAAGCTACGAACCACGCAAACAACCAGCTGTTAACACACAGCGAAGGGGCTAGCAAAATCCCCGTGGGGATTCTAGACCGGTGTAATGCCTCACAATATCATTCTCTTCCATCTCACTTAGTTTTCTACTAGTGTCCTGGCCTTTTCTGAGAGCAGCTGGGAAAACTTGGGTCCAGAAAGATTGATCAGTCCTGCAAGTTTACAACAGCAAAACAGTGATTCCTGACTTAGGATTCACGATGAGCCTATACAGTCTGCTCCAACTGGTGTCTGAAAATTTAGCTATAATACCAAAGGCATTTCCTAAATCTCACTGACAGAGATCTATATTCTCTCATTTGAAAATGTCAAGATTATGATCCGCTCGCCTAGAAACTTCACCTCGCTATAAGGAAACAGCCTTATGACCTTGGATTCAGGACCATGTGAAACCACCTTGGGGGCAACAAGCCCTTTGTTTGTCATTTATGGAAAAACCTAGCCTGTGAGGTCCTGGAGAGCAGAGGCTTTGCCTTGATGAAGGTTGGATTCACACAGTCTAGCTCAGTACTTGATACATAAAAGGATTCAGTAGATACCTTTTGAATCAGTGAATGGACCTGCACGTTTAATTTTGGGAGATGAGAGAGAGGAGAATCAGCCAACTGACTGCTTATAGCCCTGGCGTTCAGGGGCTCTGAGGTGGCCGGGCATATTTTGAAAAGGTCATTTTACCAGCCTATAACTGCAGGCTAAAGTAGACGGGAATGGCGATCATTGGTGGTGTGGAAAAACAAGTTCTTACTGCCCCCTGGTGGTCAGGATGATTTCAGATTCCAAAGTCCTCTAGCACTCCTAGCACTGAATTGAAGCATCCTGGTAGCCAGGGGTCTGCAGGTTTCATTTACCCAACCCCTTCTCCAAACAGCAGAGTTCTCGGCTTAAAGGCCAGAAAGATGCCACCCCAATCCCAAAGTCCTCGAAGGAGGCTTTTCATCTCTATACTGAGAGAAGATGAATATGTCAAGCTGAAATTGAACATTTTAAAGTGAATTGCCTTTCAGTGAATGGTCTGTGGTTTCAAGAGCTCCTAGAAAAAAAGGAAAATATTCAAGGAAAATAATAATTTCCTGTCTGGAACATTCAGATGTCTATCTATTTAAGATTAGCAGGTCAGGCCACCCTTCTGAGCAAAAAAGACATTCTGGAACCCTTTCAGACTTTGAACTGTTAGCATTCCGTGATTGCATTCCCACTTCATCGAAGGAGAAACTGAGGGTCCAAACCAACTTTTGGAAAAATGATAACTATCCTCTCAAGTCTACAGAAGGTTTTCAGTTTTATTTTGTTTTATTTTAAGTGTATGGTAAGTGAAAAAAAACAAAACAAAACATAAACTGCTACAGAGGTTTCTAAGGCAGCATCACATGTGCAGGGAGTTTTGTGTTTTATCCCACTTGTTGCCTCGCCAGGACCTAGAGCACTGTCTGACTCATCAATACATATTTGGTGAATGAATGAATGAATGAAGCCTAAAGAGAAAGAGCTGTTTTTTAATGGAAATTATTGCTTGTTGGAGAGGATGTCATCTCCTTCCTTGAGAATCTTTAAAAACAGGTTGAATTCTCATTTACCTTAAAAATGATAGAATCTGACACTGGAAGGAACCTTAGAAATATCATCAGTTTAATTTCCTCATTTGGTTTCATTCATTCACTTCACAGATGAGGAAAATGAAGGTCAGAGAGGTTAAACAACTCACCATAGGTCACACAGCAATTACATGGCAGACCCTACAGTGACTCCAAGTCTTCATTCCTGACACTTTCTAAAAGAGCAATGATGTTCAAAGTTTTTGGCTGTGACTTACAGTAAGAAATACATTGTGACCCAGTACACACCCACACGATTACACACACACAACACTAAAAATAGTTTCCTGAAACAATACTCACCTTCTCCCTGTAATAACGTACCCTGGTCTACTGTCTACTCTATTTCATTCTTTTTAATAATATTCTGATCACAACTCACTAAATTAATTTCACAACTTAAAATTTTAAAACATTATAACCTCTCAGGCTGAAGTCCTCCAGAATCTTCTTCCAAGGAGAAAAGAACTAGAGTGATCAGCTTCTTGGGACTCCTTGGCCCAAAGATCCCAGTTTTATGACTCAGTAGAGGCAGTAGTATCTCCCATCGTCAAGTTTCATTTCACTTCCAAGAATGCAGTCCAAGCAACCCTGCTCTCCAGCCAGGGTGAGTAACCACACTACTGTGTTTCAGGACACAGACCAGGGCCATTGGTAGCAGCTTTGTCCTTGTCCTTGACTAGCTCTCTAACCCACAAGTTAGCAGGGATTTGCGTCCTTACATAAAAGAGCATGTCCTTATCTCTGCTGCCATCACTCTCCCCTAGCCTAGGAGCCTGGGGGGAGGGGGCGGAGAGGGGAGCAGGAATAAGAGGAGCCCGGAAGGGGAAGCGCAGGACAAGTAGGTGGGTCTGAGGTCATCAGCTACGTAAGTAGGTGTGAACAGACGGACTGCTAAACAATCTCCAGGAGCCAGGCAGCCTGCCCCCACCCGCGCACACGGTTCCACAGAGCCTCCTTCTCCTAAGCCCATTTGATCGTTTCCCCCCATCTCTTCCCCTGACGTCCTCTACCAAATATTCTCTCTCTCTCTCTCTCTCTCTCTCACACACACACTAAGATGCTAAGATCGTTCACATGGTGGGGAGATGGCTTCTCAGCTATTTCCCTTCTAACTGACAGGTTGGAACTTTCTCCTCTGACTTCCTACTTTCCCGCTGAGAGTCAGCAAGACGGGATTTGGCAGGGGGCTGCTTTGCAGCAGCCAGGGCAGAAAGCCTTCCCATAGCAACCTGGGCACAGTCCCATGACTCCCTGACACAGGTGGAATTTCCAGGGCTGGCAACTCACCCCCTCTCAGAAGCAGCGCACAAGCTGTAGGCTACCCCCCCTCCCTTTCCAGTGAGTCTCAACCTGGCTTCGGGCCGCCCAGTAGTGAAGGCAATGAGCCAGGAACGGTGCTGGACAATACTTCGAATATTTATTGGCCCTTTCAGATATCCTCAGACAGCTTTGGAGTCTACGGCTCCAGGTCTTGAGTTCTGCTCGTGAAAGGGGAAGATTAGAATGAACTGGGAGGCAGCAGAGCACTACCCAGCTCTGCCATCAATGTGCTATGTGATGTTAAGTCAGTTACTTAACCTCTCTGGCTCTCAGTTACCTCATTTTTAACATGAGAGATTCAGTTTTCTAAAAAACGACTTCTCAACATTTCCTTATTATATTGCTATGCTTAAATAAAATTGTATCATCACTCTCATAGTATACAAATCCCAGATTCACAATGAAGACATGCATCTTTACCAAAATAAGTACAACGTAATTAGAAGTCTGTTTCTGGAATTGGACATTTTCCCCCAAAATGAGATTTTTTTAATTTAACCATTTTTTAAAAAACTGAAGTCTAGTTAATTTACAATGTTGTTTAGTTTCAGGTTACAGAAGTGATTCAATTATATATATTTATATAAACACACACACATATATACGTATATTCTTTTTTTCTATTTTAACATTTACTCTTTATTGTGTTGTATGAAGTACCACCTAATGCAAGTATGTACTGTACTAAAACACCCGTATTTCCAAATAACATTATGTGGTGTAGCCCACGGTCTCTGCAGATGCATTGTGAGTAACCTGTGCCTTTACACTTTACAATCAATCCATTGCTGGCTGCTGTGCAAAGTATGATAACAGATGAAGAAAAAAAAAATAAAGCTAAGTATGAATACATTTTCCAAACATACACATACACAGCTTACAATGGAACCCCAATGGAAAGTCAAATGACCATATTTGATGTAGTACCTATAAGATGCAGACTCTGCAATAAAAAGCCAAAGGCACATAAAAATATACTTTAACTTTAAAAATAACTTAGTTACAGTAATACTTTGCTTGTGTCTTACCAACATGTAGCTGACAGTCAAAATTTTGCAATATAGATATACTATATAGGGATATCTAAGAGCTACAAGCAAATCCCCGAAACCCATAAAGTTGTTCAAATGTGAAAACAGAGAAAAGTTCTAACACGGAAGAATTTGCTACGGTGAGCCCAAACAATATAATATAGAAAACAGCCTAGAAAAAAGGCGTGGGTGTTAAATAAATTTTGACTTCCTCGTGCTCAGAAAATGCCAGAGTACTGTAAAGGTCCTTCATGTGACTGGCACAGCCCTTCATAAGTAGTGCCAGTCCTGGCCAAGCCAGATTTCTTACATGTCTGAAGGCCTGAAAACAAAAAATGTGAGCTGTACGTCAGCAATGCCCGCCGAAAATGGGTTCTGACTCACTTCCTCTCTTTGCCAGGATAGGTGTTTTTGTTTCTTTCACTGTTTTTGCAAACAGGGCATATCAGGTAAAAACGTATTCTGTAGGAATGTCATTTTAGAAAACCCATCACGTGACAGCAAGTATAGCCAGCGAAGCTCTTCTCTTTGACTGTGGTTAGTTTTGTTTTGTTCTGGTTTTTGATACCTTTTATCCCAAAGGAAAAGAGCCGGCGGTGTCCTGTTACTTACTTTTATCCATGACATTCAGCACCTCATCCAGAAATGAGGGCCCAAGATCGAGCTGCAAGGAGAGGAGGGAACCCATGAGATCAGAGAGGGACTCCTCTGATTTAGTCTTTTCCTTGACGAGCTCGCACGGGGCGGAACGGTCAAACATGTCCTCCGCCGCCCAGTCGGGTACTGTTCGGAGAGGCTGCCCCTGCCCTGGCTGGACTGCGATGCGGACCCGCTGGACCCCCACGAGATGTCCCCCTGGTGGACCGTCCCGTTCTCCAACAGACTGCTTTTCTCCGGAGCCTTCTCCTCCATGACCTGCTCACAGCTAAGCCGGGGCAGCCTTCCCGGCCCTAAGGACTCCTGTTTGGAACTGAATGTCACCGGTGACAACAAGGGCAACATGAGCGCTTGGGGCCCTCTGACGGTTGGAAGGGAGATGGCGTTTTTGAGCACCGGGGAGGGCATTTCTGTGAACATGGAGTCGGAGGTACCGTTGGCCCGGAAGAACTCGTTATGCCCAGGGAACTGGCCCGTGCATGCTTTCTCCTCGTTTCCAGGTAGAAGCTCATTTCCTCGAAGAAAGGAAATGTCTCCAAAGACAGCAGAAGCTCATTTCCTTGAAGAAAGGAAATGTCTCCAAAGACGTCGTGCTGGCCCTCTTTGCTGATGTGAACGGTGTGGCGGAGGTCTCCAAGGGAAGGGCTGATCGTATCCGGAGACAAGATGTCCCTCAGTTTAAATTTCTTTCCTTTCTTGTTATTGGCAGCTTTCAGGTACATTGAGGTCTTGGCTGGCATTTTGGAGTTTGAAGATGTCTATTTTGCAAAAGGGAAGAAGGGCCACTTTCTTCACAGATGTTACAGGTTTCCCGATATCCTTGTTGATAGGAGCGGTCACATCATTTTTCTCAAGTAGCTTCTGAAGTGGCTCTGAAACGAGATGGAGGTCTAAGAGGCCTTCCTGGACTTACAGCCAAGCAGGGGTTTCTGGAGAGCCGGTTACATCCGCCAGTCCCTTCCACAGCACGGAGAAACCAGCGGCGCCAAGGATCCCAGCCGCTGACCCCGGGGCCGGGCGCCCGGCACCAACAGTCCCCGAGGGCGCACGCGGTCCCTGCCCGCCACGCGCAGCTCCAGCCGGGTCAGCCGGCGCAGCGCCTGCCTGCTCACAGCATCATGCACTCCGAGACAGCGTGAAGGCGCCCAAGGCCAGGGTCTCCGGACTCCTATACGTATATTCTTTTTCAGATTTTTTTCCATTATAGGTTGTTACAACATATCAAGTATAGTTGCCTGTGCTATACAGTAGGTCCTTGCTGTTTATCTATTTTATATATAATAGTGTGTATATGTTAATCCCAAACTCCTAATTTGGAGAGATTCAATTTTTTTTTGAATTTTATTTCATATATTTTTTATACAGCAGGTTCTTATTAGTTATCTATTTTATACATATTAGTGTATATATGTCAATCCCAATCTCCCAATGCATCCCACCACCACCACCCCCCTGCCGCTTTCCCCCCTTGGTGTCCATACATTTGTTCTCCACGTCTGTGTCTCTATTTCTCCCTGCAAACCAGTTCATCTGTACCATTTTTCTAGATTCCACATACATGCGTTAATATACAGTATCTGTTTTTAGAGAGATTCAATTTTTAAAACAACAAAAATTAATTGGTCACCTTCAATGGTCCCTTCAGTAGTTCAGGGAATTAATTCATTATCTTGAAAACTAGCAAATAAATGAAACAGTCAACATTTGTTGGGGTTTTTTCCCCCTATATCAACTACAACACTAGAAAATCAAATCGTTGCCAAGGGGAAGCACCTCCTTTTTAAAGTATTCCAACAAATACATAAAAAATAAATGATGGGAAATCACCATTTTGCAACCTCTGATGAATTGATGAATCTAGACAACGAGCATCAATGATTACTAAGGTCAATAAAAGAGAGACAGATGTTATGTGCTTCCCACCCACGAACTTGCCGAAAAGATCTACTCAGATCAAACCTAATCAGGTCAAACTTCTGGGTCCAGCAAGAAATTTGCAGGCAAAAAAGTGGCCAGAGAACTGTTGAACTGCATTGCGAGTGTGCAGGCAGCACATTCCAGACTGCAAGGAACTCCACAGGCCATGTGCCCCGAGTTCCTCTCAAAATAAAGTGTAAGGAAAAGAAACTGACGAAAAGTGAACCTGGAGAGGCACAGGGACTCAGAAGACATGTCGACTTTTTAACATGGAAAAGACTACACTAGCATGTCGAGAGAACTGTGGTCAAACGATAAAACTAAAAGGAAACACCAGAAAATTATGACAACAGGAGTCAGCGGGGCGATTACTTTCAGGGAGGGGAGAGTCTATGGTTGGATCAGGAGACAGCACTGAGGGGGCTGATGGAGTTCTATTGCTTGGCTGTCCTCCCCTGCATTTGTATTTTAATTCATAATAAGGTGATTTTCTTAAATGAGAGAGTAGAAAAATCACCTTTACTTCCTGACAGAGCTAGAAGGCTGGGTTCTGGAATTCTAAATCTGGAAAGTGACAGGTGTCGTGATGACGAGGTTGGTTGTGGGACTGCTAAGCGGCAGGAGGCGGGGGGGACAGGAAGGCCAAGGATGTCCTGGCTGCAGAGCTGCGGAGACTTGGCCTTGACTCCTGACTGCCACTTCCTGGCTGGGACACCAGAAAACTCAGCTAACCTCTCTCATCTCATTTTCCTCATCTACTAAGTAGAGATAATAGTTCTTGCCTTGTCATTATGACAATCAAATAAGATAACTCATCAGAGCTCATAGTGCAGAATCTGGCGCACAGGAAGTACTCAATACGATCATCCTATTATTATTATTATTACTAGTACTACTACTACTATTGTTATTATCTATCTGATTATTAGGATGCCCCTAATGTGGACAGAAGTAAACCAGAAGGTGGATTTCTCCTTCAAAAAGGGAATACGAGAACATGGCCCCTTTGGGACACTAGTGACCGGGGCGGTTGTAGAAGGTGCAGCTTTGCTAGCCTTCCGCTGGCTCTCCCCAGTGTGACGTGTCCCCATTGGACATGCTCCCTCCTTGATCCACTCATCCTCTTCCCCATTAAGCACTCAACCAGGCTTCCACTCGAAGCCACTCTCATCAGAAGCCACACTCATCAGTCTGATGGCTTCCTGTTCTTGCTGCTCTCCAGGGGGTGCGGAAACCCCAGGGCACCACTCACCGCGTCCATTAGTCACTGGAGCCACTTTGTGTGAGGAAGCCTCCGGGACAAGCAAACACCATGAGAGGCAGGAGAGCCTGGTGGCTACGGGCATGAACTCTGCACAGGGCTGATGACCCACACCCGCCCCCGGGTTACCTTAAGGATGAAGTTCTGAGTGGACACACACAGCCTTTGGAATCTGGGGAGCACCAGACCCTTGTCAGGAATTGCTGTGATGCCTCTGGCATCAGAATGGCCAGATGTCTCCTGCTCTCCTTACTTTAACTTCCTGGGCAGGGAAAGTAATAGATTCCTGTGCCATTTGGGGCTAGGCGTAGTCAGTCTTCCTTCACGTTATTATTCAGGCAATTTCCTCTTACCTGTGAGACCATGGGCAAGTTATTTAACCCCACTGTGCCCCCATTTCTTCATCTATAAAATCTACATAAGAGAATCTGCTTCATACGGTTGTCATGGAGAGTAACTGAATTAAAAAAGACAAATTGCTTTAAACAATGCCTGGCACGTGGTCTGTTAAAAAAAAGGCTCCGTTTCACAGTTTTCTGGATTCAAGTACAAGCTCTTTCCCTTATTAGTTCAATGACACTCGAGAAGTTGCCTCGCTTCTCCACGTCTCTGCTTGTTCATCTATCAAATGGGGATAATAATAGTGCCATGCTTGCTGGATTGGCGTGAATATGAAATAGATAATGCAAAAAAGATCCTGCCTTACACAAAATATTTAATAAACATTAGATATTATTATCCCTAAAATACCAGATAATAAGCAAAGTTTTGTTTTTTCCTCGCTATCCAAAGAGAGCAAAATGCACAAAATACTCCAACAAGATACTGGGTAGAGATCCTCCAAAGCAAAGTCCTCATCTCCGGGCACTGAGATATTCTCGCACACCACGAAATGGCACTGCTGGGGTCAAGGACAGGCAGGTCTCTCAGGATCCATCACATCTCGGGGGACAGTAGAGCAGTGAGACACATGGTGTGGCACCTCTAAGCCACAGGAAAAGGGGATGGATAAAGGGGAACCAGCAAGCAGATTTTTCCACGGAAGGATGGTGAGCAAAGGGAGGAGGAAGGCGTGGCAAAGAGGAGCGAGGCTTCCTTTCCACCATATGAGGTGCATTCATCAACCCAGCCTCATTGTTCCAAAGAACGACCGAACCATCATTACTGAGAAACAGCAGCTAGAGCCTACTGGGGTAACAGGATTCTCAGAGTCTTGATCTCTAGTTGCCTTTTCGTTCTGATACTTCATCTGATTCTCTCAACAGTTCAGCAGGACAGAAAAAAATGTGAACGGGAAACCCTATTTCACAGATGGACTGCAGACAGAAGAGAGAGAAACTTATCCAAGGTCAGAAACAACGTGGGGGGCTTCCCTGGTGGCGCAGTGGTTGAGAGTCCGCCTGCAGATGCAGGGGACACGGGTTCGTGCCCCGGTCCGGGAGGATCCCATATGCCGCTGAGCGCTGGGCCCGTGAGCCATGGCCGCTGAGCCTGCGCGTCCGGAGCCTGTGCTCCGCAACGGGAGAGGCCACTG